GTGCCACAAGTACTCCTTTTCTTTTTGCGAATACAGACTAACACGGCTGTTACTCTGAAACCTGTCATTGATCTGAAAGAACTTCTTTTTTAAAAAGAACAGGAGGACTTGTGGCACCTTAGAGACTAACAAATTTATTAGAGCATAAGTTTTCGTGGGCTACCGCCCACTTCATCGGATGCATAGAATGGAACATATAGTTATATATATACACACACACACAGATACGTTGGAAGTTACCATAGGTGTTTCACAGGGCTCAGGCAGTTTTCTTTTTATTGCCCCTCAAAAAAAAAAAAAAAAAAAAAAAAAAAAGAGAGATTCAGGCCAATGCTACTATTCATTTCCCTGTATTACACTGTGTATCTATTTCCTATTGGAGGTGCAGTGCCTTCCTCAGCAGAAACGTACAACTACCCCATCATCTGTAAGAACAGGGATGTAGAAAAGGCCAATTACCTTTTGAAGACAAGGAAATTACTTGCTTATAATTGAGTTCTCTGAATACGGTGTCCGCTATTAGAGCTACACACATCCTCCCACCACCCCTTGAGAGCTGGGGTTTTATTCCTATTTAAGTTATAATTATAATAATTAGTCTGAAAAGGATCTGGGAGTTGGGGGCTATGATATACCATGTAGACCCCTCAAGGCATATTTTTGTACTAACTCATTATGACCAGGTCCAAACTTTACCATTTAATCTAGTTATTCAATATCCAAGGTCACACCAGCTGACCCACGAGCATGAATCCTTAGAGGCTCTCACCTTCAGAGAACTACAATTAAAAGGTAAATAATTCCCTAGCCACCCTCTCTGGGAAGCAATGAGATAAGTCAGGGAGTGGGATCCAACCACATTCTCATTATTACTCTAATAACTTACCTAATTGCAATGGTTACAATTTACCAAAACAAAAATGCAGGAGAAGTTACAGTTAATTTAGAATTGGACTGGGCAAGACTCAGCCATCAGTTAACTGAGGGTTGGGTCCAACTGTGTGTGGGGGGGTGTCACTCAGACTCCAAGCAAATCTAAAGGGCTAAACCCTGAGAAATCAAATTAATCACCACTTCAAGGTTTGTACAATTCATGCACTGAAACTAGGTCACAGCCTTCTCCATAATAGAGCCGATTTGTTTGGATATTTCATAATACGTTGTATTGATTCAATAATGATTTTAAGTTTCAAAGTATTTGAAACAAAGCTTAAGTTAAAGGGGTTTTAGACAATTTTAGAGTCCATTACCAGTTATCTAAACTGCAGTTCCTACATTAAAATGTTCTTTAAAATGACATCACGATCTGGGACAATAGATTCCAAGAAATTTTCCCCCACCTGAATTTCCAGAATAGGATCAGCCTCAAGCTTTGCAAACCATTGGAGCAATAACTTTCAAGTGCATAGTAAGGGAGCCTGTGTGATGGGGTCAGAGCTAAAAATAGTTCACTAGAGTACTAAGGTAGTTAGGTTTCAGAGTAGCAGCCGTGTTAGTCTGTATTCGCAAAAAGAATGTTAGTCTCTAAGGTGCCACAAGTACTCCTGTTCTTTCTAAGGTAGTTAGAGCATCACTCTTAGTGGCAGTAAAATAGCGTTGCTCAAATTTCAAAAATATTCACTTTGTGACTGGAATTTTACAGCAGAAATTAATTTCACCTGCAAATCAGAGACCTCCACCAATATTTGTGTCAACAAAATCAAATCCATCATGCCATGTGTCAGCAATACATTCCATTGATTACAAGGACAAAATTAGAGGCTGGATAAAGGCCTTTTAGAACAGGTGGCTTTTCAAATCTAGGTTAGAAGACGTAAGGCAGAAGAAGATTCTATTTTCTAGGTACAGAATATATTTTATGTCTTCTAGAAAACCAGAGTTTGGTACATGTTGGCTTAGGGTCATTATGATGCAATATGTCAAATTTCTATGGGGACATCGTAGTACACATTGACATTGTGCTTCCAGATATCTCAAGAATTGTAATTCTAGGACTAACTGAGCACAGTGAATGTCGTGCAGCACATAACACACAAACACCTAGAAACAAAGCTATAGGAGTCTTTTTGTTTTGCCTAGAAAATGACAAATGCTGATACTTTATGCTGAAGGTAACCTGAAGTCCTGGGAGCAGCAGGTCTGGCAGCCTCAGCTTGGTTCCCGGCTGCACCCAGGCCTTCTACCCACAGGACACAATTAAGTACAATAGGTAATCTTTGCTCTGAAGCAGGTCCGCAAAATGAATTCTTTTATTCCCAGCCAGGGTTAATATCACATGAGGGAGCAACTGGGAGAAGTCTGCACTGTTATTGTCTGAGCTATATGTTTGCTGGAGATAAATAGACTTCAATTTCTAATGTTGCTGGTTCTGAAACATCCCACTGTTTTTCTAAATTAAATTATAGGGGCACTACCATACTAACAGCCAGGCACATTAACCACAGAAGCAACATTTCAGACCATTTTTAAGTCCTTGTGCTGTGGAATTTGAGGGTCAGGAGAAGCAATAATTTCAGACATTGGTATCTTAATTTGGACACTTAAGTGCTGATATGAATGTACAGTCTTGAATTTGGGTATGTGACAGGCTTTCAGGGACTCACACCCTGTGCAGAGACGCAGAGCTATTCTGAGGACTTACCCTGGTAGCCAGATCAGGTGAGTCTGTCAACTTTAATGTCTGAAACTCAGCTCTTGCCCAGGGCCATTAAGCTTTTCCCACAGGTCCACTGACCCCATGGCCCTGTGGGTGACACCATTTATGGGAGAAGACTCCTTCGTCTTTACCCTTTTGACGGAATCCTAAGGGTGCAGGCTCAACACACTGTTCCTTCACTGCCTATGAGAGGGTAAAGGTTGTTTCATTACCAGATAGTCTAAGACTCAAGTGGTCTAATTAATTAACAGGCAAATTTATTAAGGTGCCAAGTACTTGATTTGTGCTCTTGCCAGCAAATTGTCAATAACATGTCTAAATGGACATTTGAGAGTAATAGTATGGTACTTGTGTGTAAAATTATAACTGCATCTTCAGGAGTTCTCAAACGTGGCTCTTACAGCAGATTTTTATAAATCAAAAAACATTCCAGGAGAACATATTCATACTAAAGTTTCCCTATGGTAAGTTTCCCCAGGATGATCTATTCTTGTATTTAAATGTCACCTCAGCCAAAGCTACAGAAATTCATTTCCAGATCCTCTCACTCATACTGCCTAGAAAAACCTATACCAGCAGATATTATGAAATACTGAGCATCTCAGACAATGTGATTAAATTCTCATTCAATAACAAATACATTACCCAATCTCTTGGTCTGGTATCTAGCACATCCTATAATGGTAAAAGACCACAAGTCTCTCCATTAAGCCTGCTTTCAGTACACTGCATCACCAACCATTAGTTAATTTCCTCATCCAATAGTGTTAATGTAGGCCGGATGCTATCGATATCCACCTCCCAGTGGAAACACTTTCCTTTGAGTACCCTGTTTCATCAAGCTATTAGATGTCCTAAAATCCCTTGGAGTCCTAGATTAGTGAATTTGAACTTTTTTTGTATTTTCGTTTTGACTTTCACCTTTCTGAGAGATGTTGGTAGGTGAATGATTTCTCTGCAGTTTCCAAAGATATATTGGTTTAATTTAATGCAGCTCTGAAAACAGACTCAGACTTCTTCCTTTCCTAGAACAGTTACCATTTGTGAACACTACCAAAGCTCCTACTTTTCCCTTGTTACCTACAATCCCTCATCTCTCGCCTTTCACCTTCCCCCCCGCATAAAAACCAAAACCCCACACTTGTTATAATCAATCTGTAGCTATGAATTCTACATTGCAAGGTAGAAGCTTAGAAGTTTGTAGGACTAGCAAAGGAGATATCTTTCCTGTACTTCTTCATTACAATCACAAAAGAGACTAAGCTCTAGTGGTTAGAGCAGGTGATTGGGTTCTCTTCCAGGATCCATCACTGCCTCACTCTGTGGCCTTTCACAAATCACTTAACCTCTCAGTCTACCCTTCTGGAGTACTACTTGTCTAGCTCCCAGGGATATTTTGGAACAAATTAGAGTTTATGAAGCTCCATAGCAAACACAGTGAGCATCACACATTGGAACCTAGACATGGGCCCAGGCCGGATCTCGATTAGTCTGGGGGTTTAGATCGGAGGTTTTGGTTCAGGCCCATTTCCACAGAAAACAACCTCTCCCCTCCCCCACAGCACACACACACACCTTTTTCAAGGAATATATTATGCAGTTAGGCTAATTTCTCTATACTTGCCAATGAGAGTTCATTTCTGATGCAGCACCTTCTCAAGCTTGGGTTTTGGTCCCAACATCAACATTTGAAATCTGCACCTGGAAACTTGGCATTCATACCCAACTGTGTATGTTCAGCTGATCTGTCCATGTAAGTGCCTAGATGTGCAATTTTTAAAACCTCTCTGAAAACTGGACCCTAAAAATGCAGAAAGTTGCCTATTTATCACAGCCAATGGGCAAATTTATCTTGTAACTTTATTGACACAAGCTATAGGAAAGAAAGCATATATGTGATATCCCCATGGTCGAAGGTGATATTCTTATGCCAAAATGGTGATTTATGATAATTCAGCTACATGGAAGGAGAAAATGCTTCTAACGTTGTGCATATATTAGGGAAAAATGTTTTCCAGACTGGCAATGGTTCAGCAAGAGAAGAGAGGTAAGAGAAAGGACCCACAGTATTATTTTGAAAAAGCTTTTACGATCACATAAACACACTGAGGTCTTTTATAGTGCCTCAAGTTTGCAGTCTGTAAAACACACATTAGTACCCTTTATTAAACAATAGAGTCAGTGTTGTTCTATAAAATATTCCCTTGTTTAAAATACTCTATTTTTAAATTGCCTTCCGTTTTTATATCAGTACCAATCAGATGAACAAGAGTACATTACAAAATTCCAATTGGGTAAGCTAGCTTTGCTCTTTTATTGAGGTCATTGTCCACGTAATGTTTTCATTCTGGTTGCCAGGACACCATTCAAAGGCATTATGGAAGAAAACCCACATTATTACCTCACAGTTCTGTATCCACATTCTGCATCCTCATTAACATAGGCCAGCAGTAGGTGTCTTTACATAGAATTGCTGAGTTTATTATAAAATGTAGGGCAATAACGTGAGCCATTTGCAGTTAATCTCTTTGCAGTGGCAGGCTCAATTACTTCTGAAAGCACACTAGGGGGCTCCCCCACAGCCTACAAGATAAAAAATGGCTGAAACAAGCTGGAAGGCCATGGATAGTGGTGTAATGGACTGGCTGGACAACAAAAGAGCTAAGACCTTGAGGGTCTCCAATGACAGGGAGTCATTTCAGGTATGGAGAAAGAAAATAAGATATTTATTTCCCTTAAACGTCCAGGCAGTTCGTGGTACAAATCTGTAAGAAAAAAAAACGTTAATGGAGAGCTCTCTCTAAATTAGAGCCATGTGAAAATGGCAGCAGTTCAACAACAATATTCTTATTCTCCTAGACACCTAAGAAAGCCGCTGTGGATTTCTTACCTCTATGAAATAAGATAAAAGATTTAACCTCTCCAGTGAGTCATATAATTTTGCAATGGTTCAACTCTTCTCCCTAAATGTACATAGACTGCTGACATAATTGTAGAAAACGAACTTGTTAAGGGTAGTGCAATTTCTCTCTTGTCATTCAGCTGAAAAAGATTCGGCGATCACTTGAGACTATGAAGAGCATGAACGATAATCTGATGAAGCAGGAAGAAAGAAAAGTGAAAAGATGGCTAGCAAAACAAGCTGAATTATCACCATCATCGTCGTTGTCATATAAGAACTTATACAAGGTAAATGAACTTATTTTCCAAGGGACATCATGCAATACATAAAAACTATATAATAAAAACAAGAGTTGTGATTTCTAAATCAGTGGCTCTGCATGCTGCAGATGTAAGCAGACCATGCTGGTAAGGCAGGCCAGAGGTTGAGAGGGGAGTTCATGGCTGGGGAAAGTGGGACAAGTTAGGTTTTGCTTCATCCTCCAAAAATTCTATCCCACACAGCAACTTGAGCAGCCACCAATAATCCTTTGGGCCAGACCCTCGGTCACTGTAAATTGTCATAGCTCCACTGACGTAACTTGTTTCAATAGCCCCATGACAATTGGCTCCAGCTGAGCATCTGCCCCTCCTCATATGACCACACTTGAGGATTTCACCAATTTCCAAATAAATGGAAATTACATGAGCATGCCTCCAAATTCATGGATGCTAAAACACTGCAAAAACAACAATGCTTGGAGAAAGCAAACACTAGTGAATTTTGGCTTCCCATAAGCTTGGCTTGGACACGAATTTCTAGCAGCTGTCTCTGGTTTTGGCATTACACAGCAACAGAGGAATGTTTCTCAAGTTTTACTGTATTAACACTACCACTTGGCAGAAAAAGAAAGACCTGGACCCAGAAGATATTTGCAAATGTTAAAAAGAAAAACAAAACACACCCCTTGTACTTGTGGGTATTACTCATTCATCAGTGACTGAGGGGGCAACTGGGGCTGCACTGGGTCAAGAAGGTTTATAAGGTATTTTGTTGTTTTGTGGAGGGGGTTTGGGGGAGTTATGTGTGTCTACAGTTTACTGGCTAAAAGAAAAGGAGTACTTGTGGCACCTTAGAGACTAACCAATTTATTTGAGCATAAGCTTTCGTGAGCTACAGCTCACTTCATCGGATGCATACTGTATACAGTATGCATCCGATGAAGTGAGCTGTAGCTCACGAAAGCTTATGCTCAAATAAATTGGTTAGTACAGTATGCATCCGATGAAGTGAGCTGTAGCTCACGAAAGCTTATGCTCAAATAAATTGGTTAGTCTCTAAGGTGCCACAAGTACTCCTTTTCTTTTTGCGAATACAGACTAACACGGCTGTTACTCTGAAACCCGTTTATTGGCTGAAATTCGGTAGCATTTTTAATGTGAATAAGGCACCTGGAGGATAAGACAGGTGCATGAGAACTGGATATAAATTAACAAACCCCTCAGACATTTGGAGACTTGCATGAGAAGAAAGGTTGGAGAAGATTTTAAAAGCAAAACCTATCATTATCCTAGCTTCCCCATCAACCAATCGTGGGGGTATGGAAGGTTATTAAAATACACCAATTAAAATAAATTGACACTTCCTTCTCCTCCATACCCCTAACATTCCACCCCCAACTGTAAATGAGTCCATCCTTCTTGGGGAAGAGTTAAAGAAACAGCTAATTTTTCCCCTTTTTGGCCACTTCATTCCAATTTGTGGGTTGGATTTCATCTGGCTCTAAAGTTTCTAACACTTCAGATCATGGTATCCTTAAGTAGTAGCTCAGCATCCCTTGGGAACTGTTTCTGGCATCTGTCTTCTACACTCTCTTGTGAACACAGAGGCAAAGAACTTTGTTGTTGTTGTTAAGCAATATGTCTACCCACTTTCTGTTAATGAAAGGAAGAACATGCCAAGAAGTTACATAGCTTTTAAGGGCCTATTTTTCTGCTATTCAATTTAAAATGCATACTAATAAGGATTATACATCTGTTACACTTATGTTTATCTTAGTTGATATTGGCAAGTTTAAGCGGTCACTGTACCAGATTGTATATATTAAAGATACACACTGTATACGTTATAGGACATCTAAACCAGCACCATTTGCTAGCTGTGTCTACCTGGGATGAGTTTTCATTGAGAATAAAATAAGTAGCCTATTCTGGAGCAGTCTACCCCCAGTCCTGAAAAACTAAACCACCAACTGGATATTGCATAAATCTACTGCGGGACTGTCCAACCTTTGCCACACACAAGGCAGCACTCATCATTATAAACATGCTGCCAGATAACACGACATTAAATTGGAGTTCAGGTTGAGTACGTATCAGCAATTTAAGAGTAAAAGCTATAGGGATGTTGTCATTATCTAACAAACCAAGCATACAAAACCCAGGTAAGGTTAAACTTACAACAAAAAAATCCAAACATCTTACAGTTCGGAAATGTACAGTGTAGGCTCTCAACCAACCTTATTTCTGCCCTGTAGTTACACTATGCAATAACCATACAATTATGATTAGCACATAATAGGATCAGCATAGGGGATGAGCCAGCTTTTCTTCACTGGCAGTAGCAATGGTGGGAGGGGCTGACCATTCAAAAAGAAGGCATCTTTGCTGGTCACCAGCCATTGTCCTCCCTCCCACTGAGAAAATAGGAGATGGCAGACATTTTGAAAGAGGGGAATTCCTCATGGAAATCCATGTGGAAGAAAATTATTTGTCACCCTCTGCAGAAATTTTTTTTTGTTATTAAGAATTATGGCAAAATGCTTTTTTGTTTTTAAAGAACACCTTAAAATGTTTCCTGTGCACAAGATCTTAGTGAGTTTTAACTGTATGGGAGCTTTGAAGGTTCTACATTCGACTACTATTAAGACCATTAGAAACAAAAAATGGTCTGACATACGGTGCTAAATTTCTTAAAGGAACCATTTTAAGTTAATTTTAAATTATAAACTAAATTCACTCTATGCTCATGAGAAAGTGCTGTAATTTGTGGTAGGAAAGACTGTAAGTGCAGAATTCAACCACCCTTAACTAAGGACTAGGTCTTCTGTAATATAATTTTTAAAAGTAGATTATACCCCTCTAAAACTTGCTTCTACTTGAGATTTCTCCTTGATAGGTGAATGTGAACTGTTTTTTTGTTTGAGTTCACCAGTAATTAGAACATGCTTATCACTCAGATACCACTGTTATGAAGATACATATATTGAAGATAACATATATTGCATCCCTGCTTTGTCCTGAACCTACAGCTAAAGAGAGGCCAATAATTTGGCCAGTCATTCAGCGTCTCTGATCTACACCCGTGTGCTTGACAGAATTCAAAACCTGTTCCCAATTTACTTTTTAATTCCTTTGAACCGCAGTGTCCAAAGTGCCCTGTGCTGCGTTTGTAGCTCCACGCTCTGCAGAAGCACAAGCACCTTTAAAAAAAAAAAAAAAAAAAAGACGACTACTTGCACCAGCAATTAATATGAATAATAAATATTTATTTTACAAGATACCATCCAGTGAAGCGAACCAAGAGGCAAACCAAGAAGTGAAACAAGTCTCCGAGAGAGGCTCCACTGAAACTCCTTGGAACCAGTTTGGTGACCATTTGCCCAACTTTGTCAGCTTTCTGCGCCTACCAACAAAAAGACCAGGTTGTGGTAGGGAAGATAACATTCAAGTCTTTATGAGGCTTGATTGTCTTTCCAGGTTTTAAGCAGCATAATCAGTTTTTCTTATTGCAGTAATTAGAGTTTCTCTGACTCTGCTCAGAACAGTACTCCCTCTCTACTTTATTGGTGTAGCCCTGTGAATGGTTCTTTTAGAAATGCATCCCTGAACAGTAAAGTATTAGTTCTTCTTCTTCCTGTCATTTAAGTATAATTAAGAGATAATGTCAATGGAACAGAGCCTGGTCACAGGATGATTTCCTGCTGATAGGCAAATGGCAAGGTGAGGAGGCATTTAGTGAAAATTATATTTTATATATCCATATTCTGTGACTTAAATTACTATTATAACTACTGATTATCATCCAAACCATAACAGACAGGTGCAGCAAAGCCAAAGCTGCTGCGGGTAAGTCCTCATCAAAGAGAAAAACAATATTTTCATTGTCTTTGAAAATTAGCTTCCTTGATGCCCTAATCAATGAGAAATCTTTTCCCCTAAATGTAGTGCTTTACTATTACGAATAAAGAGGTTAATGGATTTAAATCGCAGTAGTTAAGAGTCTAAACATCAAGCAACTGATGTGGCAAATCCCAACTGTGTGTGTTCTAAAATCTGAAAGGAGAGACAGACATCAAGACGACAGGTGCCCGAGGCCTTGTCTACATGGGGAAGTAGATGTATCACAGACTGAATGACTAACCTATTAACTATATTTTCAGGATCACAATCTTTATACAACATTCAAAAGTAACTGAAGCAGCATGGACCTGAACTCTTCTCAAATCCATTTTTTCCTTCTAAGTTTGTATCTATTTTTTTGCCCTGGAGTTTTACTGAAAATTATGAGGTCTTCTTTTCACATATTGTTTGGATGCCCCTTTTATTATTCAATACACTTAAGCATCTCTGACAGCTAATTTTGTCACAAACTCATTTTATTCACCACTCCAATTGCTCTCTTCTTGCTAAATCCACCTTGTAAAGAACCTTCCATATTCTTATAAAAAGCTGTTCAGTATACAGCCAGTTTATCTACAAATAGATCCCTATATGAACACATTGTGTTCTCTCTCTTTTACTGGATGTACCCACCTATGAGTACAGTACAAAATGCTTCAGGTCCCTTTATGAAACCTGCCACTCAAACCCAATAAAGGAACTCCTAGTCTATTGCTCACCATCACTTAAACCAGTTCTCTCATAGGGTCTGATCCTGCAAGGTGATAAGTGCTCTCAATTCTCATGGACTTCAAACACCAATTTTGTGTGTTCCAATATCTGAATGGAGAAAAGGATATTACAGTGATCGTACCTTGCAGGATTGAGCCCTTAGTGCACATATTCAAATCCCATTCACAATGGAACCAACTGGATTCAAAAAAGATTTACAAGCAAGCCTCACCCTCTTCATCTGACCTTCTTTTGTGCACTTGTAACTTTGCTCATGCTTATATCTGCACATACGCTTTTCAAGCAGTAACACTAGTGAG